CTGTGTTGGCAATGGTGTAATTGTGTAGGGTATTGTGGCTTTTAGATTTGTGAACAGTATGCCAGTAGTTACGAAGTGGTGTTGGTAAATAATATTGTAGGATATTGTTGAAGTTATAGATTTGGTGTGAAATTTGGTATAGCGGTAGTTTATAATTGTAGCGCTGGGAGGTGCAGGCAGCGTTTAGTAGGTTATTGTAGTTGGTTTTAGATTTGCGCGCTGACGGTCGATGAAGCAAGCCCAGTTCAGTGTATTATTAGTTTACCTGAGTCTGTGTGGCGAATTTTGTAACGATTTCTATCTGCCTTTAGGTATTAGTGCATCATGGCGTTTCTGTTAAGAGCAGCAGCATCGCAAATGTTAAAAGCTGCGAAAGAACAGGGTAGAAGTTGATATTACTTTACCTAAGATATTTTAAAATTAATAAGAGAATTTGTCAAAGTAAATACTATACTGATGAAGGAAGCTAAATATTTGTTAGAGGGTATTTTGGATGAAAACGGAAAATTAAGGAATCTGAGGAGCGCAGGACTAGCTTAGAGAATCTCCGAGTTAGAAAGACTAAGAGCTCACCAGAAATAAAGTTAAAAGAAAAAATGAATTGAAGTCAGGGAATAGGATTTCTAACACCCCAAAATGTTTGTGTGTCAGGAAAACGTACCGCAGTAGTTAGTGAAACCCGGTTAATAAGTAGTCGTTATTTAAATTGTGTTGTTAATAAAAGCGTGAGAACGCCACATGTCTGGTGATTTTGAAAAATGAGAATTGCCCCCAGTGAGAGAAGCTGACGAACGTTTTCCCTTCTAAAGTAAGTAAGTAAGAGGGATAGGAACAGAAAAGAATAGCAAGTTTATGGGCTTGAAAAAGGAAAGAAACTTCAATGTATAGAAATGGTCATTGTGTAAGGAAATCAAAATGCCTTTTGCAAATGCAAAGAGTGTTAAAGCAATCGCTTTGTGTGCGAAGCGCGGTAAATAAAATTCCGAATGAAATAGGAGCTGATTCTCAGAATTGATAGAAGATAAGGGAATAGTGGAACCCCTGAAATTTTGAGTTGCAGCGAAATGCGAGAAAAAAAGAAGATACCAGTATGATGCTAACGTGGTGAACAACAGCAGTTAACAGTGAATCGTGAAGGTTTTCGGAATCATACAATGGCTAAGGCGGTATAGTAGTGTAAAGAAATGGGGAGGCAGTAAAGGAAACACGTGTAAAGCCGAAGCGTGAGTGCCTGAGGTGAGTATCACGCGTTTGCCTCTCAAAACCAAAAAGAGATTGATAGGAACAGCTTAGAGACGGATAATAGGTCTAGTTTTAGCTCTCAGAATTTAATTTCGATTTACCAGAAAAAAAGAGACGGCAGTACCATTTATCGTCTCAATTTACTGAAACTGTATCGTAGGAAGCCGAATTTGCAAATTTGGCGAAAAGAATGAGCCTTATGGAATATGAAAGATTCCTGGAAATTCTCTATTCGGTAAAGCTATTTATGATTTTAACTTTCAGGGAACGTAAGCTTTAAGGGAAAGTCAACTGTATTTTAGATTACCGCCCATTGAAGTAAGTAACCATTTAAGAATGATTAACACTAAAAAGAAAGAAGGGTTTCCAGACCCTGCAGACGATTTCTTTGGGCGGCAGAAGGATAGTAGTTTAAATACGGGAAAGCCGTTTAAAATCAAAACTTGTTGTACATCCCAGATGTTAATTACCCGCTATATTGCCATATGTTATTCCTTTTAGATTTAGATGTGAAACGGATGGGGCAGTCGAACCGTACTCCGCCCTATTGTTTGGTTAGGAAGAGTGAGCCGATACCGTATCCACGTATTAAATGTATTAAGTTTAGAATCTGAACCAGGTGACGCGAGCCGAAATTTATCTCTTTTTTAAAATGAAGGTTTGCAGAAAAGAATAGCGCGGGTATCGTGGGTCACTGTACTGGATTTGTGGAAGGGTAAGGCCTGTCGTTCTCTCATGATGAGTTATCCGAAGTATGCCGCATGTGTTAAGCTTTTATTTGGGTATGTACATTATTAAGAAAGTGAGGTTTGGTTTGTATGGGCTTCTTCTTATGGATGTAATTTAACGACACAGGTTATGAGATGGTTAAAGCAGAATGATGTATCACGAATGGTCGATATAGACATTCTGATGCAGATTTGGAAAATCGTGTAAAGCAGCTTTGTATTAAAAGTGGCGAGCTGATTAACGGAAGCCGACTGACCAAAGGTAAATTAGGAGCTGCCGGAAAAATTTGTTCCTATGCACACACAGCATTCAAAATTTCATTGTATTGAGTTATACCAGTTATAGCATTATATTCCACCAGTGCTCCACTTTTCCTCAATAACTAATGTAATGGAAAACAACACATGAATCGTGAATAAATCTGTCATAATGGTTGTGAGAATGCTCTCACCGAAAGCCAAAATTTAACTTAATTTAGAAGGTCTTGATTAAACTTTTTTAATTTTAAAAAATGGTTTTAATGTTATTTTCAAAGCTTGGAATTTATAGGTGTTTATTTTGTTTATTTAATATCAAGCTTGGAATTAGTAGTAGATGGAATAAGCAATTCTTTGACGAAAGGGCGTGAATTAATATCTGCAGGGAGTGGCGGAAAGCGGTTTGTGTGTGTGTAAGATGGAAGGATATTATTATGTGTTATTGAAAAATCTGCGGCCCCTTAGTAGTAAGGTGAATAATTTATCGCTTCTTAACACGATTGGAGCTGACAAATGTATTGGACTTAGTGAAATATGATGATTTGATTTTAACTTCTCTTTGAAAACCCTGAAAAATTTAAGGTGTGATGTAACTTTACAGAAGAGGAAAAGAATCCACGATTTGGGATTTAAGTTTTAGTTGTTGCTGCATGTTTTATAGGAATTTTGATTTATTTTATTTACTCTTACCGCATCGCATTGGTTACTTGATTGTTGTCTTGGCTGTCTCATTGATAAGACAACCTTTCGGTGTGAAATGTTAAGATCTGAATCCAGCCTGAGGTCAGAGCAGTCTAGTGAAACGGACTCTGGGGTAGCGAGCCGCATCGCCTCTCACCAAAGTAAACCGCTACCCCCCACATCGCAGCTTCAGGCAACCTTTTCAAAGCTTGGCTGCGCGCCGCAAATGCTGTTTTTCAAAGTTTCGCATGCCATTATGTGGCCCAGAATTTCAGCAATGCTTCAAACAAATGCTATAGTATCCCCAAAAGTCCGAATAGGCGGAAGTTTGTAAGAAAGTCGGTGTGACAGAGAATAGGGCTGCGAGGCCCAGGTGGTGAGACATTATTTAGTCGGAAGTTAAAGAAGTTGGATGAGAATTGCGGCGCCCTTGGGATTCCAGACAGACGAGGAATGTGTTTGTGTTTGCCGCGCAAATGGGAGAGACGAAAGTGGCCTGATGAGGGCAGACCTTTTTTTGGCCTGCCAATGAAGACGAGGGGCGTGTAGTGGACCCGCCCCTGGTGTTTAAAAGGGGTTAATTTTTGAGAGAAAAAGAGATTTGGACGGAGAAAGACTTGGACGGAGAAAAGCTTGGAGGGAGAGGAAGAAACTTGGAGAGAGCCCTGGATGGAAACAGAGGGATAGAGCCTTGGAGGGAGACGGACGGAGCCCTGGATGGAAACAGAGAGCCATGGAGTAAACTGGAGAGGAGCCCGGAAAAGCAAGGGATTGTCGAGTGCCTTTGGGAATAAGGATTGACCTCCAGTGAAAAAGACTGTCCGCCCGGCTTGGCCTATTTAATGAACATTTTAATAACATATGAAGCTATTAAATACCGTTTAAATTTTAAACAGGCTGTGACAAATTTTCTTGTTTTCTAACTACTGACGACGCCAATATCTTCACTTCCATGCTTCCAGCATGGAAGTGAAGGTGTTCTTGTTTTTGGCATTAATTCATGGGATTACAGTAATTTAGTTTTTTCATTTGCCAAGCCATTATAGGCCCATCGGAAAACAAAATGTTGAATTGTCTGCCATCCTGATTAGAATTTTCTGAAACTTAATTTACTGCTGGATCAATAAAACATGGAGGTAGAAGTGTTCTTTGCGTGGGGTGTAAATCGCCGCAGAATTCAGTAATTTGGTATTTTTGCTGATATTGTGAATCAAGAGCCTCTCATTTAAATATTTTAAAGAGAAATTTTTAAATTATCCGCCCAAAATTTGATATTGAAACTACTTCCATTTTTAACAAGATAATGACGCCGCTAATACTGTTTCTAATGTACGCCACTGGCGTCTCTCATAACTGTCCCCAAATCATAAAACCCTTAATCACTTTATTTAGTCCACTAGAACATATTTGGTGAGATTTTGATGTAAAAAAAAAAAGAAAACATGACATATAAACGCATAATGTGAAGTAAAAGCAATAATCACAAAAGAATGGTGGAAAATCGATGCAAAAATTACAAAAAATGGATTAAATCTATACCAAGACGCTAAAGTTTTTGTGGACCCTGAAAAGATATCCTCAATACTAAATTAGAAAAAATACAATATTTAAAGCTAAGTTGAGATTTTTGTTAAGTGTACAAAACTTTTGTGGCGTAATTTTTTAGTAGTTTTTCGATAATTAATTTTTTAAAAAAAATAGTTATACTATTTTTAAAAAATTAATTATGTCATTCCATTAAGAATATCAAAATGAATGATGAAATCATTAGAATGCAAATATCTTTAAAAAATTACAATTACAATATATTAATTTTTATTAGTCGAAAACGTTAAATTTTATAAGAAATTGCAACGAACACTTTCGAATTGTACGAACACTTTTGTGGCCCACTGTATATACATTTGACAGAATCACAATAATTAGTGTACAAAATAGAAAGCGATTTTCCTTGCTATTTTCCGTTTTCCTTTCCATATATGTTATTGGACTATTATTTTTGTTTGCTACTATTTATTAATTAATTAAATTTAATTATTCCAATAAAATAGTATAGTAAAAGGAGACTACATTTTTTCACAGAAGTAAGGCCATCCCAAGTGGGATTCGAACTCACACCTTGGATAAGAAGTCCAATTCATTATCCGTTAAATTACAAGGATACAAGAGGAACAGTTTTCCTTTTTATATATCGTGTTGGACTATTATTTTTGTTTGTTACTACTTATTCATTAATTAAATAGAATTAATAGATTAATATTTGAAAAAATTATATTAACATCAAGTGCCATACACCGCAAATTTAAAAAATGTATTTGAACTTGAGTGGATGAGTAAATGATGATATTAACGATTGAAAATTTGAACAAGATATATATATAGGGAGAGTGTGAACTAATAGTAGGTATTGAAAAAACCGTTTCTTAAACATGTTAAGTTTTCTTTTTTGGCGTTTTTAACGAAATAGTACCAATCCCGAAAAAAAAATCTAAAAATTAGAAAGAAAAATATATACTTTTTTTTACAAGATTTTTTAACAATAAACAGTTTATACTTATAAAAAGTGATAGAGTCTATCATCATCATCATAAATCTAATTCCGCAAAACACTTTTTTTTTATAAAATGCACGTGGACTTATATTCTGAATTGATAACCTTTTTATCTTTTTTAAACTACGTTGTGACAAAATGTTTATATTAAAAACTAAACTTTATCAACTGTTGAGCAAATGTTTGTCTTTGTCTACAGTTTTAAAAGTTGATAATTTTGGCAAATAAGAATAGTCACGTCGTTCTAAGTACGATATAGTTGGTTGTTTATAATTATATTCCTCTCTATATAAAAATTTCTACTATTTTTAAAAGTAACTTAATACGAAAAGAAAATTAATAAGAAGTAAGAAAAAAAATATGGCTATCCCTTACAAATCTAAAAAATTACATGTTCATATTTCTAATACTAATAGAATTAAAAAAAATATTTATAAGTAACAGTTATTTCTGAAAAATAATTTGTTTTTGTCTTTCTGAATAGACTTTCGCAACATACTCAAATTATAATGGTCTAATACAGGTGTCAGCAACCTATGGCACACACGTTACACGGTACAATTTTCAGAGGCAGTTTACCATACTATACAAATTTGTTAATTTTTGGGAGGATGGAAGTGGATAATTTTGAAATGGATCTTATTGTACTAACACCTTCAGAATTACGGAAAGCAACGTTTACGGAATTTCGAAAAACTCTGGATGATAACTTTAGCGATAAATCGACAGCTATTTTAAATTATTAAATGTCATTGCTGGAGAGATTTAAGTGAAGAAAATTGCGTATGTTTTGCTTTCCTCTTTTGGTCCTACATATGCATGTGAAAAAAACTTTCCTTATATGAAAAATATTTTGAGTCTGCAAAGAAGTTGTTTTATAACTGAATGTTCAGAATTGTGTCAAAGTGAAAGTCACAAATACTGTGATGTGAAGCAAAGCGGTGCAGAGTCAAGGTTTGCACTAAAATTTTTATTTTTAAAAAAATCAAACTCTATTGATGGGGAATATTTATATTTTATACTATTTATTTAGTTATTTTTAATTAATACGTTAAAAAGATATATAATACACACATATTGCCCGCATGTACAGATTTAACTTTTTTTTTTATTTATGTTGAAGGAATAGTTATATTTCATATTTATTTTTATGATAATACAAATATCCTAAAGTGATACAAAAGTAATATATAATAAAATACTATAAATATATATATATTTCTGATCTCTGTTCACTAGTTGAATTGTTTCAAATATTTTCTATCATGTGGAACCCTGAATTATATTGGTAGATTGGTTTGGCCCGCCATAGCTACAAGGTTTCCGACTCCTGGTCTAATATATATATATATATATATATATATATGTAGATTAATTTCTTTATTAATTTTTCCTTGCCTAAGAATAACATTTCCCCCATTATAAAATTCGTGATTATCTTATTTAATCATAAAGTTATCTGTATTTTTTATACAGAATGTCAAAAAGGAACATGCCAAACACAATTACTTAAACGGGAACTTTTAGAGAATAAAAAGAAAGAAATTTCAAATCAATTGGCGCCAACTATAAAACATTTTGGCGGTCTGCATGCTTATTCTAATTATTTGTTTCAGTTTATTGCGCCATGTAATAATATATTACCGTGTTTTCTCACGTTTTATGTTTTATTCGGTAAGTGTAATTTTGTGCAACAATAAAATATGTTTGAACAAATGAAAGCAAATGCCTGATAAAACCACACATGGTTATGTTTTTTTATGATTTTTATTTATATTTTACGTCTAAATAAAGTAGAATAAACAGTTACTTATATACTAATATTTACAATTAACAACTTTATGGTTCTGTAAAGGTCAACACTAATATAACTCACTATCAGGACCAAAAATTGTAACAAAGCAACTTAAAACAATTAAAAATTAATTACAATTCTTTAAAATATAATATTAATTTATTTTTAAGTTCACATAATTTAACATTTAATAGAATACCCGAATTTAAGGTACTTTTAGAACATTTAGAATTTTAAGCAAACATTTAGTTAAATCTTCTTTCAAGAATTGGAGTTGCGATTATTTTTAGTATTATAATTTGCACAGAAATTAATTATAAAAAATAATTATTTATAACGAAATTTTTTAATATTTTGATATTTCATTTATTGAGATAACTATGAAGTGGTACAAAAATCTGCTTGCAAATATTTAAAAACAATCCTCTGTTTTTTCTTATCGCAGCGCAATATTTTTCTCCTCCTTAGCAATATTTAAATTTATCGCGCATTGAAAGTAGTGTCATTATTACTTTTAATAAATTTTAGTTATACTGGATGAAAATCTCTGATCTAGAAGGTTGTTATAATTCAATATTATACACCTATATATCAACTTTACATAATTTTTATTGCGAAAATAAAAGAAGTTTTAATACATGAAAATAGTCAAGCAAGAAAAGAGTTAGTTATATTTAAATATTAATATCGAATTATAAAAGACATTTATCATGAATCACGTTAACTGTCAATATGGCTAAAAAGAATGGCAAGTTAAGAAATAAAAGGGAAAAAAATAATTCTTCAAAAGTAATTCTGATTATATTCTCTTATTAAGTAAAATTAATTTTTGATTATAAAGAATTACCTAGTTAACCATATCTAAAGTAAAAAAGAAGCTTACTGGGTAAGGAAGTAACCGAAAAGGAGAAAATTTGAAAGCGGTAATTTGATGCTGCGAAACTCATGTGAGTCAATAATATCACAATGAAACTAAACGGAAGTGTGATCAACTTCTAATCTGACCACTAACACTACTAAAAGTAAGACAAAGAAAACAGAAACACCAGTTAAAGGATTTTCCCACTTCCTTTCCTGTACAGATCGAAAATAAAAACTGTCGTTACAATTTCATTAACAACACAATGCACATTTAACACAACAAGTTTTTCTTTTGATTTTTTTTATCATGACCCTTGCGCGTGGGCTATTAGCTACCAATCTTCTAATTTTGAACCTAGTCACAAGTGATGAGGCCAACACCAAAGCTAGTATACCCCACTCACCAAACTTCATAACAACATGAAGACTTTGAGCCTCAATAGATTTAACATACATCTGTCACGATACACGCTGGTCTTCAGTGACATCAAGACTCCAACCCATAACTCGGCAATGTCAGCTACGAGTTTGTGACCATGATAACTTCAGTTTTCTAGAGAAAAGCATATCACACACCAATATTATACGCAAAGTTAATTTTCAAATATACAGGGTGTTTCCAAATTTGACCGACAAATTCAGAGAGGTGATAGTAGGCGGCATAGGGACGGCAAATCACCGTAGAACCTGGGGTCGAAAATCCCGTTTAGTCAGAGTAATTCGCAAAACCAGTTATGAAGGGTGTGATGTCGAGTGGAATAAAAAGGGCCAATAAGAGGTAAGAAATACGTTTATTAGATGCAAAGCCCCGCAACATATCACTTTCACATCTTACAACTTGTGCTATGACATACGCGACCGCAACTTCGGACAATTTCTGTAACATCCATTTCTGACGTCAAGCTGTGATGCATTGTTCGTTTTGTGAACGAACAATGCATCACAGATGATGTTCGATGTGAAAGTGATATGTTGCGGACATCGTCTCCTCGAAAAGTGTCCTAGTCACTCTCTGTGCAAGGCATCCATTGCAATCGGTTTGGCTGTGCATGAGGTATATATCCTCATATTTCTCGTTCGTGAAATCCGTCATTGTTACCAAATTCAGTTTAACACCATCGCTTTATGCAACACTCACTTTATGACAACTTGCTCGACGCTTTTATTCTTTCCAGACGGCAGGGAAATTTGCATACGTGCAGGTTTCTTAAAACCCTACCACAGTACTCCAAATTACCACATTCGTCTGACTACACTCCTCGTCTGGCTCCTCAACCTACCGACGTCTACTATTACTGCGATTTCCACCGACTAAACGTGGTTTGCGACCCCATGTTCTATGTTGATTTGGCATTTCCATGCTGCTTACTATCACCTCTCTAAATTTGTCGCTCAAATTCGACAACACACTTTAAAGTTAAAATTATTAAAAGCATTTGTGAGTACATAATATTTGTGCATCGGTTTGCATTGTTGCATTTACTTATTTGTGATTGTTTATTTGCTTTTCACTTCAATCAACTAGAGGATTATTGCAAGATACGCAAGTGTAATCCTAAAACATTGAAATTATGGTTAGTGAGTGAGAGTTTATCAACGTCCCTTAATAAATCAACATAGGGCTGTTGGCGAAGGACCTCTTGATTTCGAACCATGGTCAAGTGACGAGGATGAAACCTGATCTAGCATATCCTCTCCAAACTTCCTCACTATACCAACTGCAGAACATTGAGCTTCGACAGTTTTAAAGTGCATTAGACCCACTACACGTGGCACTAGGACTCAAACTCATGACATACTGGCAACGAATCCGTAAACATAACCACTTGGCTACCGCAGACGAAATTATAGTTAGATGCTATGAGTAGTCTAGAGGCAATGCACATTTTCTACATTTTGAATGGAAATGTTTGCCAGTATGAAATGGTACATTTCTATAAGAACAGATTGAAACT